ATGCTTTGTGTGGAGGTACCTGGCAACACACTGATACTTGGTGTGAAGGTACCTGGCAGCACACAGATACTTGGTGTGAAGGTACCTGGCAGCACACTGATACTTGGTGTGAAGGTACCTGGCAGCACACTGATACTTGGTGTGAAGTGAGGTGTCTAGCAGCTCGGCAACACACTCATATTTGGTGTGAAGTGGAGGTACCTAGTAGCTCGGCAACACACTGATACTTGGTGTGATGTGATGTGTCTAGCAGCTCGGCAACACACTGATACTTGGTGTGAAGTGGAGGTACCTAGAGCTCGGCTTCACACTGATACGTGGTGTGAAGTGGAGGAACCTAGAGCTCGGCAACACACTGATACGTGGTGTGAAGTGGAGGTACCTAGTAGCTCGGCAACACACTGATACTTGATGTGAAGTGAGGTGTCTAGCAGTTCGGCAACACACTGATACTTGGTGTGAAGTGGAGGTACCTAGCAGCTCGGCAACACACTGATACTTGGTGTGGAGGTACCTTGCAACACACTGGTACTTTGTGTGGAGGTACCTGGCAACACACTGATGCTTTGTGTGAAGTGGAGGTACCTAGCAGCTCGGCAACACACTGATACTTTGTGTGGAGGTAGCTTGCAACACACTGATACTTTGTGTGGAGGTACCTTGCAACACACTGATACTTGGTGTGGAGGTACCTGGCAACACACTGATACTTTGTATGGAGGTACCTGGCAACACACTGATACTTTGTATGGAGGTACCTGGCAACACACTGATACTTTGTATGGAGGTACCTTGCAACACACTGATACTTTGTATGGAGGTACCTGGCAACACACTGATACTTTGTATGGAGGTACCTGGCAACACACTGATACTTTGTGTGGAGGTACCTTGCAACACACTGATACTTTGTATGGAGGTACCTGGCAACACACTGATACTTTGTGTGGAAGTACCTTGCAACACACTGATACTTTGTGTGGAGGTACCTGGCAACACACTGATACTTTGTGTGGAGGTACCTGGCAACACACTGATACTTTGTGTGGAGGTACCTGGCAGCACACTGATACTTTGTGTGGAGGTACCTGGCAACGCACTGATACTTTGTGTGGAGGTACCTTGCAACACACTGATGCTTGGTGATGAAGCAAGGACTCCATTTGTTTGATGCTAATCAGGCCTCCACCTGAACGGTGCTTTCAGTGACGGCGTTGTTATGACACCTGATCTACCACGCCCCGCTAAGTCATACGGCAGGTTGCATCACGTGACCAGTTGTTTATCAGAGCGGCACACTCACCTGTACGTTGTGCAGGCAATGTACAAATCGAACTCAATCTGTCTATGACAGGATCGCTTAGTTTAATTAGTCTGCGATTAGTCTTCAGGTCTTTAGTTGCATCAACAGCTGGATCCCGGGCAGTATTAAGCTGCAATCATCCTCATCCTCGTCCCAACATAGCTACCGGCATCTGTACCTGGCAATCATCATCACTCAGTCTTTATGTCCCATCTGGATTTAGACAACAGCCGGGAGTGGCTGATCGTCATTGCGGTGTAGACCACTTAAACGTCAGGTGAGGTTAAGTTGAATGGGGTTTAACGTCGCGTTCAAGCTCTGGATTATATATTTATCGTCGTGCATGCACGTGTTCGAGTGCGCGTGTGCCTGTACTAGTCCGGATACATGACGCTTTTACAGTGCTACAGTGCTTTCCCCCATGTTTATTTAGATGAAGAATTGAGTCTGGACCAGACAATTCAGTGATTGACATAATGAACATCGATCCATGCAATTGGGATACGATGACGTGCATCAACGAACTTGACCAGCCGATCCCTTAGACGCCACTTACGACAAGCATAGTCGCCTCATAAGGCAAGCATTGGTTGCTGAAGACCTATTCTAACCCGTATCTTCACGGGTGTTACCAATCAATCGTAACGATATGATATTGCGTGGTTTTGTTGTTAAGAGCAGGTTACGATACAACACCATTGTCGTTTCTGGGCATTCTATGTCATCGTATCCCAATTGCGTGGATCGATGCTCATGATGTCAATCACTCGATTGTCTGGTCCAGACCGCCGTCATATAGCTGGAATATTGCTGAGTGCAGCGTTAAACTACAGGCTCAATCACTTTTGGCATTCTATCTGACAAAACAGTAGAGACGCAGTTTACCTAAACTGGAACGTGGGGGCACGGGTGGCCCAGTCGTCTAAGGCTCCGCGATTCGCTTTGCAGAGTTGCGTCCCTTGGGTACGCCAGAAACCGATAATTGTGGGTTCGAATCCCGGTTCGCGCCGATTATGTTTCTAGGTTTGTCGCACCATACCCGTGCTCGTGGGTTTCACCGGAGTGGTAAACGCCTGAGACCTGCATCACTTCGGGCTTTCCTCCCACATTAAGCTGACACGCCGTGATATAACTGGAATACTGTTAAAAGCGGCGTTAAACCCAACTCACTCACTCAACTGGAACGAGTGCACGTCTGTTTGATGTCTTCACTTGAACACGTACGTCATGCAGATGTAATCACTTGGACGTCAGACACGTCACATGACTTGTTCTTAACATAAGCCATCGTCAATGCAGTTTAAACTAAGCAAAGGTGAAGTAGTTCACCCAATCCCGACGAACGACTAGCGGGAGTCTAATGCCCCTGGATTAAACAAAGACGGTTAAGGTTTCAATGGTAAATCCCGAGACGGCGTGCCTGCATGGGTTGTATCGGCGGGTCACGTGGGACAGTCCCGTGACGTATAACTCACCAAATTACCAGCCATGACCTTGGTTAGGAAGAATTCCCCAGGTGTAATTACAAGTAAAATCGATGTCCATTTTATTGTTTAGACAACGACTGAAGCTTGTCTTTGCACTAAATTCATGGTAAACACTTTTTAGCCTGGATTGTCTGTTCCTGTCTTACTCCGTTGGCGCTGAGAGTGAATATGCTTGTTTGGGAGTCAGGTTTTGCAGTATTTAGTTGTAAAAAATATACAGCCAGCTCGATGGGGATTGAGAACATATGTATTGGCTGACAGTATGTTCATCTCTTCTTTTGGCGGGGCAACGGGTGCCAAAATTCTCTGCCAAGAATTGCGTCCCTTTGGAATACCAGGATCATATGATCGGGGTTCGAATCCTAGATTGGAATATATAGCTGACGCATCCTGATTGCCTTAGCTATATATGCAGGCTCGTGGGTTTCATTGAAGTGGTTAGCGTCTAAAAACTGCATCACGTTAGGCTTTCATCTAACAGTTAACTGACGTTTAAAGCGGCGTTCATCTTACCTCACTCACTCACTATAGATTTCCACTGTTCTGTGCCATGTTCGTCTCTTTGAAGGTCCATAGGTCATTCGTTCGAAGCTCATTGAGTTGTGGGGTTATGTGTGGGGGGTGCACGTGTTTTGGGGATAAATGTTGAATGTCTTCGGGCGGATGGCGTCGCCTCGTCACATCAACCCCGTAAAGATCCGGGTTAGAATTGGTGTTCAGGAACCCATGCTTGTCGATTTACAGATTGTCGTCACATAACTTGAATATTGCTGAGGGTAACAAACAAACAAACAAACAGACATTCAAACATAATTCGCCGTGCTACAAATGAAATACTGTTCAAAGCAGCGTTAAACAGAACTTACTCAGCTGAATCGATGCTTCTCCATGGTTTATTTAGTGTCCCATTGGAATGAGTAATGTCACCAAGTTGAGAAAAACAAAGTAATTTCAAAGAACAAATGGTCCGAGTATAAAGAGTTTTATTCCAGAAAAGGTGAAAAAAAGATATATTTGTATCGTAATGATCAATCACATTGGTGATTTAAAAGTACGTAAAACACAAACCAAATGACTTTCACATTAACTGGCGTTATCTTTCCAAGTGTGTTCACCGTGCACATAGTTCTATAGAGTGGCATCCCCTTAAGGCGGACACTCTGCTTACCGGGCGGTTACTGCTAAGAACGATACACAAGATATACATTCTGTACCAGTCTTTGATGTGAAGTTATCTTCATGGGAATATTGATGTGAAGTTATCTTCATGGGGACATTGACAGGAAGTTATCTTCATGGGGACATTGATATGAAGTTACCTTCATGGGAATATTGATGTGAAGTTATCTTCATGGGAATATTGATGTGAAGTTATCTTTATCGGGATATTGATAGGAAGTTATCTTCATGGGGACATTGATAGGAAGTTATCTTCATGGGGACATTGATATGAAGTTATCTTCATGGGAATATTGATGTGAAGTTATCTTCATGGGAATATTGATGTGAAGTTATCTTTATGGGGACATTGATATGAAGTTATCTTCATGGGGACATTGATATGAAGACAGTGGCGTCTGTTTCTCGATGTTCTATTATATTTAATCAATAAGTATTTTGTTTATTTAAAGTTTTATATACGCTCTTATTCACTGAATAATTCTATTGTTTCTTCGTGAAATCTAGGAGGAAAAGGTCTTCAACAACCTAAACTTGCCGTAAAAGGCGACTATGCTTGTTGTAAGAGGCGACTAACAGGATCGGGTAGTCAGGCACGCTGACTTGGTTGATGCATGTCATCGTATCCCAATTGCGTGGATCGATGCACATGATGTCAATCACTGGACTGTCCTATCCAGACTCGATTATTTACAGACCGCCGTCATGTAGCTGGAATATTGCTGAGTTCGGCGTTAAACAACAAACAAACAAACAAACAAACATTTCATTTCAAAACGGGTAGAGAATTGTAATGCATTCTTTTCCATTCGAAACACATATCGAATTCAGAAACGTTTTAACGGTAAACCGTTGGACTTATTAGCGCTCTCTTGCACAATACACCTATAGAAAGTGCCTTGCATAAAACGATTCCGCAGTGGGAAAGCAGCGCCCTTTGTAGTACCTAATGGAGTGTGACCATTCCTGCACTTCATTCAGTAAATATGAGCATAGCTGCACAGCTGTTGACTGTTGTATGCCTGTTGCAGGTAGCGGCCCTCTCGATGGTGTGGTTATTGATTGGAACCTGCGCGTGGCAGCTGGAGTGAGTGGAAGAGTCGCTCCAGTGTATATACATACATCTGGGACCAGCCCAAATCATGGATAGGAAGGGAAAGTTGAGCCAGTCACGTGACACAACGCGGGAAGGAGGAGGAGGAGGCGGACGAGAGGCAGGGAGGCAGTTTCTGTCCCCGGAAACAACAAACCTTGACAGGGCCCCAAGTTTACATGGATTACACGCTCAGAGCTCCACGGAAACAAGCGGATTAGGGGAAACCATCACTTCTGGTTTTTCCTCTCAGGAAAGTATACACAGTTTAAGAGGTTCGACCAGGACGAGGGGGGATACGGGGGGGTTGAGTCTTACCCCAGAGGAAGCTGAGGCTCATAGACGTGAGTTGCAAGCGCGGGGGACAGGGAGGGGGGATATGAGAACGGATAGTAAGAAAAATAAAGACCGGTCCAGGATGAATGACCATTACAACAGCGGTCCTGGACATTCGAACTATAACGAGTACTTCGCCCAGGGGACGACGGTCATGGATACGCTATCCCCAATGGGGCTCCAAAGGGAGCATATTGATGAGGAGTGGGACAAACGGAGTGGGAGCCGGAGGAGTTCCGCCATCAGCAGGTCATCCCAGGGCGGATCCATAAAGTCCCGGAGCTCCGTCAGGGCCAAGTTTCTTGGAGCCTCTTTAGGGTCCCAGTGGGCCAAATGGTCGAATGACAGACGTGCGTCTTTTCGACGCCGTATCGAAATGATAGAGAATTCCGAACGGAAAAAAGAAAGAACTTCCACGCCTGTTAAAAAGGCAAGACAGGAAGGATTAAAATTCGTTCATCCGGATTTGGAACGGAAGTACCTTTCGGAGGATGACATCAAGGAGTTACGCAGGCACAAGCAGGAGCAATACAACGCTTATCGTGTGATTGAGAAAGGGAAAAAGAAAAGTCGGTTTACGTCTGCTGAAGTTCAGTTGTCGATGCATCAGTGGCATGTGCTGAGCGAATTCTGGGAACACGAGGTGTTTGTACGGTTACGATGGCTTGGCGTGTTCGTCAGCATGGTGACGACCTTAGTGATGATCATCAGTATAACTAACGCCAACTGGCACGCATACGAGCTGAAACCACGTGAGTACTTATTTATTTACAATAATTCTCCTATTAATCTTGTCCTCTTATCGAATCTTCCTTTGGCTTAACGAAGTCTGGGGAACTCTTCGTTGTTGCGATGTTCGATAGTCGGGATGTAATTGCGTTGATCAGCGCGGCTTAGTGGATGGGATTAGCTTAGTTTAAGCTGATTTCGTTCTGACCAACGTACACCGTTGTTGCTTATCGTTAGTACCGTGTCCATGCACGCCAATTAAGCGTAATGTATCACTTTATTGCCACACACGCAGTTTCTTGTACGCAGATTCCATTATTAGAATCTGTAACAATTTGAAAATCTATTTCACCATCAACGTTGCAGTATCATGATTTTGATTATTATGATGATGATGATTATTATTATTATTAGCTCTCTGTGGAACATAAGATGGTTAATCAGTCTGACCAGTTTTCATTTTGTGACTTATTGTATTTAAATGACCATCGCATTAGACCACTGGACACGCATCCACAACACCATGAAAATCAGTTCTATGTTTACATGTATTGACCAAAGCACCCCATGCCTGTTTTCGCCTGAGTATCAGATGAGGACAATGTCTTACCTGACTGTTGTTCATGCTATCAACCACTGGTTGGATTGCCTGGCACGCAGTGGAATATCAATTGCCTACTTGATGTAGTATTACTGTAAAACGGTGGTGGAGGATCCGTGAAGATCAATGCTTGCTGTAAAAGGCAACTATGCTTGTCGTAAGAGGCGACTAGCGGGATCGGTGGTCAAGCTCACTGACTTTGTTGACGCATGTCAACGTATCACAATTGCGTAGATCGTTGCTCATGAAGTCAATCACTTGATTGGCTGGTCCTGACTCGGTTATTTACAGACCGCCGTCTTCTAGCTGGAATATTGCTGAGTGCGGCGTTAAACAACAAACAAACAAACAAACAAACAAACAAAACACTGTGAGGAGAAATATTGGTCAGAATGTTAGTACATTTCTTTAATGTTCTTTGTCACAAAAAGATCACCGGTAGGGAATTAAAAAAACCTACTTCTTTGATAGGCATTTAGAAGTTGGAGTACTAAGTAAGGATAAGATAAATTCTTATCCTTACTTAAATAAAACCACATTACTGTAAATAGCATAGGTTCGCAATTTGTAAAAAAATGACACGGGAAAGAAAGTATGCCACGGTTCCATCCGCTAAATCCCAGTGCAGACTCATTAAAACGAAGGAGCTGGAATGCAATTCAGTACACCGCTTGTCATGTCTGTCATGACGGTGATTCATGTGTGAATCATGTGAGTCCTCTGATTCATATGTGAATTCATGTAGGTAATTGCACATATGTTTCGCGAAAAGACATGAGTCAGACTGGTAGTCGTGGTACTAGGATTACTCTCATGAACACACATCAACCTAGGCCATCACCTTGTCTAGCTCCATGGGCCGTGTGGTAGCCTGGTGGTTCAAGCGTTCGCTCGTCACGCCGAAGACCCGGGTTCGATTCCCCTCATGCGTACAATGTTTGAAGCCGATGTCTGGCGCCCCCTGCCGTGATATTGCTGGAACATTGCTAAATGCGGCGTAAAACCATACTCACACACTCTTTGCCTCTGTTTGACTGTATATAAAAAAGGGGCCCTTTACACAATGATATCAATCCACCAGTGTCTATACACGAATGAATGAACGCACGAACGAACGAATAAAATTAATTTATTTCCGAAAGATAAGTCAGACAGCTGTGGCTTTTGTGCAACAATCAAACAAAACAGACTCGACAGATTTTGAAAGGTCAGGTTTTGAAGGGGGTCAGTCGACCGTGAAAAATTAGTGTGTTTCCAAGTTGCCCAGAGAGCTAGAAAATCAATGACTAATAAACGGAATTTTTAAAAGGTTTAACAAACGTTTTCTGTCCTAACATTTCTTTTGCTCTGCTCGTTTTGTTTTGTACCATTGTCAATAATCCCAGATGGCCGCAGTGGGTGTTAACAGTGTTTGGCAATGTTTGGCAGAGTGTTTGGCAATGTTTGGCAGAGTGTTTGGCTGTTATTGGCTATGTTTGGCAGAGTGTTTGTTAACTGCACTTGGTGCATGCTCGACGAAGAAGTGCTCTGTTCCTCCTTTCACAGACAAAATATGTCTGTCTTTAATCAGTGACTGAAAGGATGAGTGAGTATTGTTTTACACCACAATAAGCAATATTCCAGCAATATCGGGGGACATCAGAAATAGGCTTCTCACTTTGTATCCATGTCGGGAATCGAACCAGGGCTTCGGCGTGACGGGCGAACGCTTTAACAATAACGCTACTCCACGCCCAAGTGACTAAAAGAATACTGCGTCTTACAAAACTCTATTTCCACTCGAAATGTTATCAGGACAATAAATAAACGAAGATTAGCCGATCGAGATGAACCGTTATGACGCTTGACCAGCAATGGGTGACACGGTATTGCTGCGATTTCAATGGGGATCGAACCCAGATTGTTTGCCGAATAAGCAACCGCTGCAACCACTAACCGCTGATATTTATCAAGGAGTCACTGGATATATACTGAACAAAAAAAGTTAGGGATCAGGAATATTTTGGTGGATATTTCAAGAAATTGTGTGTTCAGTATTTTGGGTTTAGTATATGTGACAAGACAATGCACCTGATTGCGGTAACATCATTCTGCTTCCTTGCAAGCTGTGATCGGATGAACAACATAGATACTGCATCGGCATACTGCTGCAGCCTCAGGCTCTGCAACCGAACGCTGCTTGCCATGGAACATGACACTGAAGCACGTGTTGCCTTCATTTTAATATGAAACAACTCTCCAAATTGGATCTTGTAAATATATGTACATGTAAATGGTCACTATGTTCCGGAATAAATAATGAACGGATCTCTAAGGAATATGCGTTCCTCTTTAACGTTCATTCCTGACTTGTTTACTTCAGAAATATACATCATTATGCTTTAACCTTTTTAAGTAGAACTTAACAACTCAATTGATTTTTTTAACATGCTGTAATTGCTTTCCCTCGCTCGAAATAGATACAGCTACTGTTTCTACAAAACAAATCGTTCACTAGAGGCCAGGTTGGATGTGCTGAATAGTTTGTATTATGCGTTCCCTGAAATATGATTTTGAGAGAAACACGTAACAAGTAACCGCTGTGCGGTGCACCATGTGGAACTGTTGAACTCGTCTGTGTGTGTGTGTGTGTGTGTGTGTGTGTGTGTGTGTGTGTGTGAAGGTATGGGGGGGGGGGGGGGGGGGGGGAGAGAGAATACCCCCGAGCAACATGCCAATCAGGCGATAATATCTAATCCACTGATCTTCATTTTTGATCTGTATAAAAAGACAACAGGCACCATCTATTGACTCAAACCAATGGCCAGTTTTCTGGCCTCCACATTCATTTGTTATAATAACGGTTATGGTGAAAATAAATTACTCTAAACTAATATAGTTGTGAAACCTAATTGTAAAATTTTGTCGGCAGATGGTTCTAATAATATTAAATTTATTCCTTATCTCTAATCAGAAATGCTTCATAACTGAGATGCGTTTGTCGGAGTACTCGCGTCACTTTAATGCAAAACATAAGTTATTTTATATATTTGTACACTGGCGGTCTTACATAATAATATGTGGGTAAATACTGGCTTCTGGCTTCTGAAGTGTGTATATAGTAACAAATGAATCTTCTCTCTACTACACAAAGCCCCATCACCACCATCCCCCACCACCAGGGCGCTGAGGTAGCCAAATGGTTAAAGCGTTCGTTCGTCACGCTGAAGGCCCTGGTTCGATTCCCGACATGGGAACAATGTATGATGCCCATATCTGTTGCCCCCGCCGTGATATTGCTGGAATATTTCTAAAAAGCGGCCTAAAACTACACTCGCTCACTCTTATTCCTCCCCCCCCCCCCCCATTTAATGTTTCATTTCCGGAGATATTGATGATTTACATAATATGAGAGACCATGTTGGACGTATCTCGCCCATCACTGAGCGTGTCAATAGTTCCAGACATTGAGGAAATATAATTGTGTTAGACCTCTGTGTGATGAACAATATTGCACCGGAAGTACATTTCAAAAGCAAGCCTTTTCCTGAAATTTGATCTGAATAACTTCTAACGCTTTCATAAATGTCGGACAAATCTAAAGTCACTGATAGTGATTTCTTCGGCCTTCCTAATTGGTCAATCGTGTTATTTGATTGATGGGCTGCAATAGGTTGAGTCGCTATGCAGAATTGCGTCCCTTCAAAGTGAAAGGATCCGATGGTTTTGTCTCACGTTTCCCACAAAGTATCCTTCGGAAGACCCTCTGGTCAAGCGAATACTAAATTGTGATTCATGGTTTTAAATTAATCACTAATGTTAACAGTTGAAGAATCAAATGGGTCCAGGAATCAAATAGCATTGTAGCGAACACCAAGGCTCTACCCATGCACGTTACCTGTGAAGAGGTGACTAACGGAATCGGGTGGTCAGGCTCGCTGACTTGGTTGATGGATGCCATCGTATCCCCATTGCGTACATCACTGAACTGTCAATCAGCACTCGATTATTTACAGATCGTCATCATATTGCTGAGTGCGGCGTTAAACAAGAAACAAACATGCAAACAAACAAAACACTGTGAGGAGAAATACTGGTCAGAATTTTAGTACATTTCTTTGATATTCTTTGTCACAAATAGATCACCGGTAGGAAATTGAATAAAACTACATTTCGATAAATAGCAGCTAATACATTTTTATAGATTCGCATTTTAAAAAAAAAATTACTCCGGTAGGAAAGTGTGCCACGGCTCCCTTCTCTAAATCCCAGTGCAGACTCATTGAAACGAAGGAGCTGGAATGCAATTCAGTACACGGCTTGTCATGTCTGTCATGACGGTGATTCATGTGTGAATTCAACAATCAAACAAAACCCATGCTCTATTGGTTGTTGTTGGTTTGTAGTTTAACGCCGCACTCAGCAATATTCAATATTCAAGCT